ATTTCCGAAGTTGCACTTTAAATAAAGCCGGGGGGCCCCCTCGGCGTAACTTTATAAGGCTGTGCTGGGCAAGGCCGGGCAAAAGTGTCCCCGCTGACCCCAGCAAAATGTCGCCCGCCCCTCGCTCGCTCGCGGACCAACCGATGAAGCCGTGGCCAAGAAAGGCCTTTCTGAGGCTGGCAGATGGGAGATGTGTTGAGTGGAGCCGGCGTGCATACCGCCCGCCCGTGCACTGCTTGGGTTACAGGCTGAAATGCACCATCAGCGAAAAAGGCTCCTTGCTCCATGGCTACACATGGTCTGAGCTCCGGAAAAAGAAGCCGCCGGCTTAGAGGGAGTCGCAATGTCCCCTCCGCGAGCTGAGCTGGCCGTACCTTCCATGGGGGCCAAAAATAGACCCTCTGACTGGCCGCTCCCTAGAAAACCAACGCCAGGCCAGAAGAAGACATTCCAGGGAGCAGATAAAGGCTGAGACCCCCCCGGGTCTGTGCACCCGCTGTGCCCATTATGAGGGGCTCCCACCATCCCTGTGCTGAGTTCCCGGGTCTGTACACCCGCTGTGCCCATTATGAGGAGCTCCCACCATCCCTGTGCTGAGTTCCTGGGTCTGTACACCTGCTGTGCCCATTATGAGGGGCTCCCACCATCCCTGTGCTGAGTTCCCGGGTCTGTACACCCGCTGTGCCCATTATGAGGAGCTCCCACCATCCCTGTGCTGAGTTCCCAGGTCTGTACACCCGCTGTGCCCATTATGAGGAGCTCCACCATCCCTGTGCTGAGTTTTCAGGTTTGTACATCTAAAGTAGCATTTTAAGAGCTTCCTTTCCTGTGTAAATCTTCCTGCTGCTGCACAGTGGCAGTACATATACCTGTATACCTGACAACTTGACATAGCTACTCATTTGGTTTCACCTTCTTATTGGTGCACAGTCACCTTCTCATAAAACCACTAACATTTATAATTTTCATTCCCAGATCATTCCATTCCTGGAATGCATGTTGGGTTCTGGTGTTAGGTGGGCGGGGCGTAACCTAAAACGGGGGTCCTCAGATTTCCATGCATGCACCGTTCCTAAGCTGCAATGTGCACAATTGCTTTAGTTACTTAGCTATTGCAGTAGCTGCTTTGTCCTGCATGTGCAGGGGTTCTATGTATGTACAGATAACTCCGCCCCCCAACCAGCCCCAACTCCGCCCCCTCCACCACCATCAGCAAAAGAAGGCGGTAAGATGGAAAACGGGCGGAGAAATGTATTTAGATGTAAAGAACGGCAAACTCTTACAGGAAACGTATGAATTTGTATTCCAATGTTACGATGCAGCTCTGCCGGGACGAATATATAACAAATAATAATAAAAAAAGCCCCAAATACGCACTTTTCCTGGGGAAACTGCTGCTCCGGGGCTTCTTCCAGTGCTGACTACAGGCGGAAGGCCTTGGCACCTGGTCATGTGACCTCTGCTGAACAAAAGGGATCAGCCAACCTGATCAGGAAAGATCGCAGAACCAGATCTCTGTTGCTCATGTCAGCGGCACTGAAGGGAGCCTGCAGCAGCGTTTTCCCCGGGAAGGGTGAACATTTCAATGCTCCGGCAGGATTGTTCGCGTCACCTGCAGATGGTTTTTGTGTTTTGCTGTTTTACGCGTCCGTTTCACCGCACTAAAAAATTCCCTTTTCTCTCTCTCCCTCCTCCCTTCTTTTTCCCTTTTTTTGTCTTTTTCCCTAGTTAGCTGCCCAAGTCCTGGAAGATAAAGGCGTGGGCTTTGGGTTGGTGGACTCGGAACACGATGCTGCCGTAGCCAAGAAGCTCGGTGAGTGAGGCTAACAGAAAATTGTATACTTACCTATCGGTCATTTTCCTTTCCTGACGCCAATACATGGCAGCATACAATGGGGGCGGAGCATCGTGTTTTGGAACTACAAGTCCCATGAGGCATTGCAAGGCTCTGACAGCCACAGCCATAACTTCCAGAGGCAGCTGCATGTTGGGATTTGTAGTTTTGGCACAGCTGGAGTGCCAAGGTTCGCCACCACTGGCCTAGGAGGTGTTAGATGTTATTGGCGAGCCAGCCGGCCATTGGACACGGGCAGGGACGACCTAAAGAATGACCCCTGAAATAGCCGAGTGGATGTTCCCTTATGTAGGAAGATATGGGCAGTGACTATTGAAGCTGAGGGTTGGGGTAATAGCCAGTAAAGTAGCATTTTCAGGAGAAGGGTAGAAATGAATAAGTGAGGACACAAAGTATCAACCTGCAGATATTAGAAATTATTGGTGAGCCAGCCGGCCATTGGACACGGGTAGGGACGGCCTAATGAATGACCCTTGAAATGGCATTTGGTGGGTTGGTGTGATAGCCAGTAAAGTAGCATTTTCTGAAGAAGGGTAGCATACAATGGGGGCGGAGCCATACCCATTGTATGCTGCCATGTATTGGTGTCAGGAAACAATGTATCAGCCTAGGAGGAATTAGATGTTATTGGCGAGCCAGCCGGCCATTAGCCACGGGCAGGGACAGCCTAAAGGATGACCCCTGAAATGGCCGAGTGGATGTTCCCTTATGTAGGAAGATAGGGGCAGGGACTATCGAAGCTGAGGGTCGGGGTAATAGCCAGTAAAGTAGCATTTTCTGAAGAAGGGATAGAGATGTATAAATAAGGATACAATGTAGCAACCTGCAGGTATTAGATGTTATTGGCGAGCCCGCCGGCCATTGGGCACAGTCAGCGGCGGCCTAAAGAATGACCCCTGAAATGGCCAAGTGGATGTTCCCTTATGTATGAAGATAAGGGCAGGGACTGTATTGAAGGTGCGGGTTGGTGTAATAGCCAGTAAAGTAGCATTTTCAGAAGGGTAGAAATTAATAAGTAAGGTACGTAGGAACAAAATGTATTAGATGTTATTGGCGAGCCAGCCAGCCATTCTACATCCTATTGGACACGGGCAGGGGCGGCCTAAAGAATGACCCCTGAAATGGCCGAGTGGATGTTCCCTTATGCATGAAGATAAGGGCAGTGACTATTGAAGCTGCGGGTTGGTGTAATAGCCAGTAAAGTAGCATTTTCTGAAGGAGGGTAGAAATATATAAGTAAGGACACAATGTATCCGCCTAGGAGGTATTAGATGTTATTGGCGAGCCAGCCGGCCATTGGACACAGTCAGGGACGACCTAAAGAATGACCCCTGAAATGGTCAAGTGGATGTTCCCTTATGTATGCAGGGAAGGGCAGGGACTGTAATGAAGCTGAGGGTTGGTGTGATAGCCAGTAAAGTAGCATTTTCAGGAGAAGCTTAGAAATGAAAGTCTTCCAATGTTTCTCGTGAAGCCTTTCATTAAAATGTATCCAAATACATAACTTGTTTGGGATGATGTGGGAGAGGATTGGGCTAGAGATTCACTCCCTCCGGTGAAACAGAAAGTGATGGAAAACCCCAAATTAGGTCACTGTCACCGGAACAGGAAGTGAGGGGAAATCTTCCGACGGGGACACCTGTTCCGGTGACAACTGCCGGAGAGGGGGATCTCCCTCACTACGGGGACATTTCGACCTCTGGAAGTGAAGGGGGGATCTCCACAGAGGACACAGGCCAGGGGTAGCCAAACTCCGGCCCTCCAGCTGTGGGTGAAACTACAAATCCCATGATGCATCTCTCTCTCTCTCTCCGGGAGTCTGTGAGAACCTTGCAATGCCTCATGGGATTTGTAGTTCCACCCACAGCTGGAGGGCCAGAGTTTGCCCACCTCTGATATAGACTATTGGCTATAGACGAGAGTGTATCTAAAGATCAGGGGGCCCCATAGCAAAAATGTGATGGTGGGAGGGGCCTGATGAACTCTCTCTGAGCTGTGACCTAACGACACCAAGACTCCTTGTGTGTATCTGACATCAGTGTGGTGTTCCCACACTGTAGGCAGAGGATTAGGGTTGTCACCAACTGCAACCACTTCAACTCTTAATTACACAGTACTGTGTTATCTTAACAGCAACCTAATAGGGCCCCCTTCCACCCCCAGGCCCCCTAGCAGCCGTCTGAGCTCCCATGGCTATAGTTATACCCCTGGCTATAGATACAGAGGCGGGCATACCATTTGTGCTGACTGTGCAGCTGCAAAGGGGCCATTTATAGTAGATGCAGGTCAGACAGGTGCTGGGGGCCCCTTCCACTGTCATGTAAACCTAGACGCAGCTCATTTCTATCTGTCAGCGGATGCACGGTGTAAATGTGACTATTAGAGTTGGTGTGCTGGTGATATACTTAACTATTAAGAGTGGGCAGGGGGCCCCAAAAATATGTTTGCTCCTTTGAGACTCCACCCGTCACTGTGTAGATACATTTTCATCTTAGCATGTGTTCTCTAAAGTCACCACTGGGTGGCAGGCTAAGCTTTGAGCTGCAGATGTGTTAGGAGGTCCGCGGGCCACTAGGGGGCGCCGCCGCACTGCCTTCTGCTGAGATAGTGTGCGAGGATGGAGTGTGAATTGATGCAACTGTGTAACAATATTTGGCAGGCAGCTTCCAGCTGTTATGCAGCAAAGTTACTTGTTTTTCCAAATAATAAGGTTCTGCAAAAATACGGATCCCCGGCCGGATCTCCGCTCAAGATCTAACGCACTGCAATGTTACCCCCAACTGGATGACGTTTAGTTTCCTAAGGCACCGTGTATCATAAACTATCGCTTCATTTGGGGGTTTTTCTTTTGTCATAAAATACAATTTTTCACTTATTTTCATCCTTTGTTGCATCTCCTGTGGCCTCTTTCAGCCACTTCCTGTCTACATGCATTTGCTCCACTGCATGTCATTGCTCTGAACCAGCTTCCTGGCAGTGACAACGGCGTCCCGTGCCGTCGCAATGTGGGTTGAGCCTTGAGCGGGTGAATTTCCCTCTGGGGGGTCACAAGCAGCATGTAAAACCCGACAGAGGGGCTTAAGGAAAACGTTTTTGGGGCCTTTAGTTGCCGGCTTGGAGATCACTGCGAACGGGGAATCGGGAATTCCGTGCCGGGAGCCGCGACAAAGGAAATCTCACAAATTGTTCATCGTGAAGAGCGGTTGTCACTAAGAAAAGGTGTCGTCACCTTGAAGCCATGATGTGGCGTCGCTGTGTGTGGGGGGGCGACACCCACTTCATGAGCGAGGAGGTTCTGAGTCAGTGTGATCATGACAAACGTGGTAAAGGGAGAGAGACGCACACACACGGGAAAAGACTTCCAACTCCGCCAGCTTGGGGAAGGACATGCTGGGAGCTGTAGTCCCTCCCAGCATGTCCTCTAATCTATGCGGGTTTTTTTTGATGGAAAGGAGAGGAGGGGGTGGAAAAAAGAGGATGGAAACAAACAGAGGATAGTAAAGGAGAGGAGGAAGGAAGAAAGATGGAAAGAAAGGAAGGAAAGAAGAAAGACAAAAAGAGAAAAGAAGGAAGGAAAAGGAAAGGAGGGAAAAATGAGAGGATGAAAAGGAAGAGAGGGCAGGAAAGAAAGGAGGAAGGAAGAAAGAAAGAACGAAGTAGAGAAAGGAAGGAGGGAGTGATGGAAGGAAAGGAGGGGTAGAGAAAAAAGAGAATGGAAAGGAAATGAGGATCGGAAAGGAGAAGGAAGGAAAAAAAGAAATGAGGACAGAAGGAAGGAAGGAAAGAGGGAAGAAAGGAAAGGAAGAAGGAAGGGAAAAAAAGACGGAAAGGAAGAGAGAGTGGGAAAGGAGAAGAGGAAGGAAGAAAGAAAGAAGGGAAAGAAGAAGGGAAGGAAAAGGAAGGAAAAGGAAGGGAAGGAAGACAAAATGAAAGGAGTGAGGCAATTAAGGAGGGAAAGGGAAGAAAAAGAAGACGTAAGTAAGGCAGGATAGGAGGAGGAGAAGGAAAGGTAGGAAGGAGGAAAGGAAGGAAGGTATGATGGATGCATAGATGGATGGAAGAAAAGAAGAACAGGAATGAAAAAAAGAAAAGAAAAGCAGGGAGGAAATAAAGGATAAGAGGGTATGGGATGGATAGGAAGAGAAGAAGGAAAGGAAGGAAGGGTGGATGGTTTGAAGGAAGGAATGAAAGAAAGAAAGCGAGGAGGGGAAGTAGGAAAGAGATCAGAGTAAGAAGGAAAGAACGAAAGGAAGTGAGAAAGGGGCGAAAAATGAAAAGAAAGGAAGGAAATAAAAGAGGAAAGAAAGATGGAAAATGAAAGCAGGGAAATAAGAAAGTTGAAGAATATCTAAAGGCAAAAATTTTTTTCTTGCTGTCGGATTGGATTGTTTCCGATGGCAACTCAGAATTGTGGATTTACCCCTCACTCCCGGTGACACTGGTGATCAGGGCAATCAGGGACGGTTAATCTTGGGGACATAGACGGCAATAAAAGGCCTTACAGGGGCTCTAACCCCTCAACACTAATGTTAAAAAAAAGAGTTTTCTAACCCTCATTCCCTCCTCATTGGGAGAAATGCCGCCATGTTTCCCTATTCATAAACAATCTCGCACAAGGAGCAGGTTGCAGACATTAAAGGCGAGGTCCAATTAACTTTAAAAGTGAAGCGGCTGGTTTCCATAGAGACCCCTATTTG